ACTGCTAAATTAGGGACGACTAGCGCAGATAGCCCTCGTGTAGCTTTGCGCGAAATTCAAAAACAAAAACAAACTCTTCCGATAACGAATAACAAGCAACAAAGAACAGATCACACGTACACTGTGGACCTTATTAACACTTTCGGTTTAATAAGGTCTTCATATTACATTGTAAAAATTGTACTCAATGTTATACGAAGGCATGTTACATGTATAGAGACACTTACTGGTAGTTATTATAAAGCGTATAACATAAATACTACTACTACTGTACTGAACATATCAGTAACAGTTAATGTGTTCTATATAATAGCCTAATGCTATTAAAATTACTACAAAAAAAAAAACGTGCCCCCTGGTGGCACAGCGGTATATCTGTAGATTTACAACACTAGAAACCAAGTTTCGATATCAGTGGTGGCCAGAGCACAGATAGCCAGTTGTGTAGCTTTGTGCTTAACTTCAAACAAGCAAAAAACGTAATTTTGAAATTAAACACTTTATATTGTATTTCTTGGGTCAGTTATTCGCATATTGTTTCGTGTTTACTTTTTTAATATTAATATAGATGTTTATATTTTTTCTGATCTCCAGTTCGTAACATTTTACACAATACTTTATTCACGAAACTTTACAGTTGATATAAAATCTTGTTTAAAATAAACAAAAAAAACAACAACAAAAACGAACTGTCAAAAAATATTAAAGATTATTTTATGGCCGTCAAGTATCTTTTGGCTAAAAAATTATAGGCATCACGCGTATTTTTAGGAAACTGAGAGAGTCAAGTTACAATAACATTGTAGTAATTTCACACAAAAAGAATAGGAAGAAATAGGAATCAGAGCCAAACTAAAGTCAGTGAATAGAATTTTTTTGTGATTAAAAGTAATATACCACAAATTTAATTTCCTACATGAGCGATGTGGTTATTAAATTATATATTCTACAGTGAAAACAATTTATTTGTATTAGCTTGTATTAATGTTAACTTGAAAATGTTTTTTCTGCTTGCTACGCAATACAGAAGATGAAAAACTCTAATAACTTTCAAACAAATTTCAAACTTAATTCCTTTTTTTCTTCAAAATTCTAGCATAGAAATGTGGATAAACTACAGGAACATTCAATGAAATATTGGAAATATAGGAAGCTTTATTATAAATAGGAAAATATAGGACACATGATAGCTTTCTCTTTGTCAAAGTGGTTTGTTTTACCTTAACACTATTCATCTGTACAGGAAAATGCGCTTTAAATATACATGAAAGGAAGTTGTAATACAAATATATATATTTTATATTAAATAGCAATGAAGAGTTTGATGCAAATAAACTAAATTTAAATTATAAAAGATAATGTTAAGTGCAATATATCATATATTTTATTTTAAGTATTTAAAAATTATTAAATATTTTAAACACCGTGTGTTTCAAAAATCACTTTCGCTATGTATATAGTTGCATTCAGGAAAAAGATAAACACAGTATTTTGAACTTTGGGGTTTAGACCAACTTGATCTTACGGAAGACAACACACAGAGTAGATAAAAAGTAACGACGACATCGTAGCCACACTATACGATACCTATGGTTAAATAATCCATCGTTTCATATAATGTGTACAATTGTTTTTACAATACAAAATAAAGGAAGGCAAAAACAATTAGTTTTCACTGTACAAAAAACGATAAACTCTCCATAACAAAACTCTCAATTCTAAAGTTTTTTACATATTTTTCACATTTTCTTGAAAACTATAAAATACATAGAGTGTTTTAAACGGTTGTTAATAATTTATGACACCGGAGAATCACATTAGAATCTAGAATAATAGAATGTTGCAGACAGCTAACTTGTAATTCGTATTTTGAATGTAATTTAACTGCAAACGACCTCAAATTTCCTATTGCTAACATGCTGTAATTTCATAATTATAAATGAGCTAGCACTGAAGAAAGAAAAACTATTGCTAGCATAATAAATCTTCGAGTGTGATTTTTTTGTAACATTTTACGCAATTGCGTGATGTTCAGTATAAATTCAGTAATGTCGATCAAATACAGAAAGGTTATAAAAATGCTCCATATTTAAAATTATTATATATTGTATAATTGTAAATCATATAGTTTATTCATAAGCGTTTGGACAAGGTATGGTGTGTTTGAAAAAATAGTCACAGCAGGTGTTCAATATACTGCATGTCTCATTCCCAATCAACATATCAAGCCTATCCTTAAACACAGCTATTCCAAGCATCATCTTTTCTGGACAGTATTCGTTCATCCTTCCAATATCTTGCACACTTGCACACATCTTATTCAAATTACCAATCCTGCACTGTTGAAAGAAAGAAAAAGAAGACAAATAAAAGCAATGTTAATTTGCGTGAAACAGACAAGATTTTGGAACAATACAAAGATCTATTATTCCACATTGTTTAAAATCAGTTGTCCAAATTTAAACATATAGTCGCCAGCAAGCGTAACGCTGAGCAAACAAAAAGTGATTGGCCAAATGGCTTGGCAGCAAAGCGCGTAAATAGGCGGAGAAACAGTGACGCGTCATAGAAGAGGAGGAGGAACGAACAGAAGATATATTGGTTCGAATGTATCAACGCTTGAGGACATAAAAGACACAAAAACAACTTCAATGCTTAGTCTTTGTATCATTTTTACTGACGTAGATTATTGCAATCGTTAAAGTCAGACCCACAATAAGTTTGTGTTATTTTATATTCTGAAGAAAAAAAATTTTAAATGAAAATTAAATTGGTTTTGTTTGCTTGGTACAAGTAGGACACAATAAGTTCGGCGTATTATTCAACTACAACGTATTCAAATATGATCTCATCACCTACGTTCACTTACACATCACCTGCAACCGTGCTTCCTCCCCCATCTGCACCATTAGTCTCACCAATAGAAGCTTTAAGAACAGGGACACTGACACAGGTAGCTTCTTCTGTCCCATTTTCCAAAGAACTTCAGGCAGCTAATGATTACACTCCGAACCTAATCACTGACTCGGGGTCCAGTTCCATGATTTTAACCCTATCCTCTTCTAACGCACGAGCCAACTTACGGGGTGCTGTTTCCCCGTTTTCTCCAAGTGAAGGAGGGAACAGTGACGGAGATACTACTGACGAAGTGTACCAAGGTAGCACATATGACGATAACTCGCAAAACAGGCGACCATTTACAGGTATGTGGAATTATTTAAATATACAGGTACACTTCGCCTACCTTTTTGTATTTACAGACTTTACATAATCTAAGCGGTTTCTCCAATAAATTATATGTCCTTAGAAAACTCTTTTTTCCCCCATCAACCCATCCTTCTGCTTGTCTTTAAACCTACGCATGAATCACCCTTTTCTCCACAACACATCTTAACAGCGCTGTCGTTTTATACAAATATTTGCTTGCACTGTTTGTTATAAAAAAAAATGACAGCCGTTCTATAATATAAAGGTTTTAATCAAATGTAATTGTTCTCTTTAAATAAATTGATAAACATTTTATCAGCAAAATCACTTACATCGCAACTGTTAAGTAGAAAAACTTTGTTTTGTATCGCCACTTTTATGTCACTTCCTGCATCTTATTTGTTGAATAACACGTGATTTATTCTGTTCCCTTATTGGGAAACTCGTCACTTATCCTGATATCTTATGTACCTAATGTTCCAAGTGCACCTACATTTACCTACTGTAATTAAAACTATTAAACACCACCTGCTATGTTTAATGCCACATCGAAATTAAATGTACTAACTTTTTACTTGAGCGTACCGTTTCACTTAAAGTGTAATTTACTCGAGGAAAGGCTTGTACTTATATTTATTTTTTCTGAAATTAAAAAAAAATACTCATTCAGATGGAGAATATTTAATATAGAATTATTTTAATATGAATCTCTGTAATTGTGTATTTTTGAAAGATTAGCTGTAGCAATGTATCAATTGTACCCTGTAATGAAACAGAATTAATAAGATTATACCAGCTACGTGCAACTTTAACCTGTATAAATAGCTTTACCCCCAACAATAATGTCCTACCTAGAAAGTTGTTCGTGGTTATAGTATAGAATGAAACCAGATTATTAACCTTCGACAAGACTTTAAAATACCATGACTTTTGAAAACTGTGTACAGTATAATGAAGCATGCGTGCAATATATTGTATTAGAAAATGCACGTATTAATCAACCTTTACTGGTGGGTCATTTTTTTTTTTAGAATTTTCGTACGAAGCTACATAAAGGGTTACCTGAGCATAGCTGTTCCTAATTTTGAACTGATAGACTAGAAGGCTTATGGCCAATCCACGGCCCCATAGGGTGACGCGCAATTTTGCGGCAAAGGAACACGAACTTTGAATCTTTGAATTCTCAGTCTGCGCACGTACGTCAACAAAGAGCTACGCCCGGCCCAATTGGTGGTGTGTAGATAAAGGATTAAGGTATGATACTAGTAATAAAGTGTGTATAAATATATGTATAGTAGGGCCAAGATGTGAAGTAAAATATTACCTTAGAACCAAGTTTATCTTTTTCTTTTTTTAGAGTTTTGTTAGTTGGACAATTACACATTTTAGTCAAAGATGTATAAATATTACTTTTAAGATTGGTCTTTAGACTGTCACAGATTGCTTTCTACAATGGCTCACGTTCAACAGAGGAACTCGTCAGTTAGGCTGGTCTTATGGTAGAAACAACTTTGTAATACCACTAACACGTATTGTTCACTACTGTCTTATTATAGGCCTAAACTAGAGAAAAAGAAAGCTTATTAAACCCTAAAAATGTAGCGAACACAAGGTTAGAATGTAGGTGGATTTTTTTCCTTAATTGTTTCCTTCAGCTTATTATACAATTTAAGGGGCGTAAAAAAGTGTCATTTGAGATTCATGTAATGTTTGCCATAGAGGGAGGCCATTTTTACACCCCTCCTGTGGTTTAAAATTCTTAATTAACTGAGAAATATGCCATGAGAAATGTATCTGAAGTCTATTCCTATCGTACTTAGTAGATTTTAAGAACTTTCGCTCTTGCAAAAATTATGCGCTCAATCTAAAAAGAAAACAAAAGAGAATCCTCAACAGCCACTGTACTTGAAATTATTTCAGGCAGGATTAGAGTAAGTTAATCTACGAGACCTCTTTTTTTTATCCCCTCCCCCCTCATGAGCTTCCTCATGTCATCCTGTATCACTGTGTCAAGCTTGTTGCTGATTGATCAAGAAATTTGGAAATGTATAAGGAACAGATACGCACGCACATATTTTGACGTTTATTTATACAGATTAGATTGGGGTTCAATCCCCTCATGTCCTTCTCCATGTCATCGTATATTACTCTGCCAAGTTTGGGGTTCATTGATCAAGAAATCTGGAAACGTACGAGGAACAGATACACACGCATATTGACGTTTATTTATATAGATTGGATGCCCCCCCCCTCTCCTGTCCATCCTCATGTCATTCACTGTGTAAAATTGTGCTGATTTAGTAGTTTCTTCCGAAATTAGATATGAAATTAGATTGGGGTCACACCCCATGGGGTTCAGCCCCCACCTTCTGTGGGAAAAAATTATATTACAAAGTTTTTATTGACACTAAGAATGTGACATCACAGACATTAAAACTACATATGCTGATTCCATATCTTTATAGGTCTACTATTATAGGGACTGAAAGGTGCGAACAAACAGACACAAACTTAGCTTTAAATATATATTTTTGTGCACCAACGTGGGGCGCGCGTATACTCGATTCGTTTTTATTACTCATCAGGATCTCTACCAGCCTACCCTCAAATTGAAATTCTTTTAGGCAGGATTGGAGAAAAAGAATCTATGAGACCTTGGGTGTGGTCAATACATCAATCGGAAGGGTTTGACCTCCTGAGTCCAAAACTGTAGTTAGATCTCAAATCGATCAAAAGATGACGGAGCTATGAGCTAAAAGTTTATACTTGAAAAAACAAAAAATAAAAAACTCAGAGCCATTCTATGAGCCACTATGCCGCGGCTAAAAACAAAAGCTTTGAAAGTTAACTTATATTTCTTCATATTCATAATGTCTCTAGATCGATTGAGGAAACGACTTTTTAATGGATGAAATATACTGTTTTGTCCATAACTGTAGAAAGTAAAACTCGAGAACGGCTTATTTATTAATAAACTCTGGCTGATATTGAAATGTACTGTACTATCTACTGCACGTGGAGTAACTATAAAAACTACTATTTTTGATTGGTGCTTCTTTGGTTTTAGAATTATGAAACTACTTCATTAAGTGAGAGTACACTCTGCGATTCACCCTACACACAACAGATTACGATTTTGTTCATGAGTAAATCACTT